CTGTTCCAACCTTCTTGTCATGTTCTGGACGGACTTGTCGCACGATGGAAACATGAGTCGTAGCGCTATCATGCATTTCTCTGGCGTTCTAGGAATTCATCCTACAGAGCTATGTTTCCGTAAACCCTATGATTATACGCCATTTATATCAGCACTCCTATGGGTAGGGCGTCTAATCATACTCGAGTACGCACTACCGCTTGCACCATACAACCATCTCAAAGCCCCTTGGCCTGAGCGCACTGTCTATCCTGACCAAGCACAGCGATTGCGTGAGCATATCCGATCTAAATATCTTCAGCGAGGAAGCCTTGCGCCGGCTGGATACCTCATTGAACGGCTTCAGCATGGACGAGCGATTGCTAGGCGCGAGGGCCCCCGAACAAACATATCATGGTCGCTAGATGGCTTAACGCTATATATCGCAGACACCCAGGTTCATATGCGGCAATTCCGCGAAACGATCCATAGCGTCGTAGTAGGATTGCAAAATCTTACCTAAGACCTCCTTTTTCATTAGTAGCTAGATGTCCAACTCAATGCCGTGCAAGATGATCTTGCAACTCACCGCCTAGGGTTTTCGTTTTTAACACACCCAGCCAATAAACTCCAAGGATCTTTTTAGGCTGTAAGCAGACTCGCATTCTTAGAGCAAGGCGGGTTTTTATTAGAGACACGAAGAGGGAGAGCCAAACTAAAACAGTACCTTCAAAAAAGCGACCAGTTTATTCGTCTACTCTATGCAGCAATGCACATGACGAACGGCATGCCAGCACGCGGAGAAGAGTTTAGGGTGTTACGCTGGGCTGACACAGTTTCTGTGCGGCGAAATATCTTCGTCTACAAAGGAAAGGTGATTCTTGTTTTTTCGTACAACAAAGCAAACACCAACACTAATAATTCCTTTTATATCGTGCGGTCTCCCTGCCCCATAGTACAGAGGATCCTTTACGTGTACCTCGTGTATATCCGCCCGTTCCGCAGCCTTATTAGCCGAAATCTGGGCGTCTTGTCCAACAACTCAACGAACCCTCACTTATTCAGCACACACGAAAGCGCGACCTCATGCTTCTCATCAGAACAGGCCCACTCAAGCCTAAGAAATGTAACAGCTGGGTGTTCTGTTCCTATAAATACCAGTTTATATAGGCAAACCGCAGTGAGCATCGCTAAGAAACATCTCCCAGGCCTTATTGCACCATTCGACCCTAGCACACCAAAAGATTATAACGGCTTTCTCTAGCTTCTTGCTTTTCAGACAGGTCACCAACCCGTCACGCATGCAAGTGCATACGCGCTTGAGCATGGCTTTCCTGCAAAACTTCAGCCCGATCTTATCGACCGATACCTCGCGAATAGTCATATGTGGCACGAGTTTACGTTGACTAGAGAAGAGGATGTTTTAGATCACAGTCTAGCACCTGCACAATATGCCTCAAGTAGTACGTCCCGAGTTGGCTATTGCCCAGACAACGTCACTACAAGGACGCCAGAATGCGCGACACCTGAGGGAAGTGATGTAGATACATTAGAAGAAGCCTTGCCTCGGCGGACACAAGAGCAAAGACATCAAAGAGGGAAGAAGCGAGGCAGAGAAAGCGAGAGTTGCAGCCCTTTTACAAGGAAAATCCATATTATGCAGCAACAATTGGACGAACTCATCCAAGAACGGGCTACGATCAAAG